TCTTTTTCACTACTTATTGTCCACACTGAAGTATGACCAAGGAAAGGTTATGTTCAGATAGTTAAATACTCAGAGAATGTACATAGCTTCTTCTCTGCTTCAGTACAAGAAAAAAGAAATGTATAAATACATACAACGATAGGAATAGGATATACATAGGAATCAACCTCCGTACTTTTGATACATATGTAATTACACAGCATGGCAAGACCTCTTCCTCAGTCAAAAGGAAAAGCCTTTAACCACAGATTTTCAACATACGATAGACACGCTCATGTTGATGAAGAATTTATTTCAGTGAAAGAAAACAACTTCAAAACCCCAGTTTTGAAGAAAACAAATTAACTCTTTTGACAATGTTTTGTGTGTTTGGAAACACTGGGCTCCTTTACTTATATAAGTAAGGTAAATCCTTTTTAGTGGATTCCTTTGTTGCTACAAATTAGGATTTATTTCACAGACAAGTAGATCCTTATTTACTAAAGGAATGTATCTGCCTTTTTTCAAATGTCAATATGAGCTCTTCTAAGATGCAGATGTCACAGCATGCTGCATATATTCTTTCCTAGAGAGGGACATAACATCTGCTATCATGCAATAGATGTGAATTTAGCACACAATATTCTAGATAAACAGCATAATACAATCTTCATTAATAACCTAAATATTTGACAGCAATTAGTATTACATGGATCATAAAATTAAATATAAGTGATCTAATGCAAAATGTTGGGGTTTTTTTAATCCATTCACATGGCAGTGTAATCAATACTACTTACATGTCAAATTGTAATAGCTGAAGCCATTACTTAGACGCTAAGATAAAAAAATAGTTCCTATACTAAATGGTAGGTTTGTCTATCTGAATATTTCAGATGAGATTTTTTTTCTTTTTTCTTCCCCTGCTTTGCCTTTCCCTGTTTGTTGGATTAAACTAGAAGTGTTCTTTCTAAAGGTTCTAAGGAAATGGAGGCTATAGGTCAAATTAGTTTCTTCATATATAAAATATTATCTAATTAATCTCTGTGTCCTTAATGAACAAAGTACAACTTTCATATCAATTTATTATTTTCCCTAACTTCTATGTTATTACATTATATTTTAATATTCATAATAATTGCTACAGAAATGCATTTGGGAACATACAAGAGACATTACAGCGCAGAAATGAGATAGTCCAGATAAATAAAAAAATCATACAGACCACAGGAAGACACTTGCTGTAAATCTGTGACTTGTGGACCTTTGAATTAAGTCCTTCTTCTTATAATATGATGTGATGACAAGTGCATACTTGCCTACATCCCTACATCCCTAAAACCTAATGAAAGTTAATAATGCTGTAAGAATCTTCTGAAATTCAAAACATTGTCTTTATTTTTAATTGTTTTTACTTGATTGAAAAGCAGCTACATTAGGGTGAAGAAGAGCTGAGTGAAATATTCATTGTTTCCTGTTTTTGACTTAGCAATTGGAGTGGAACATTAAAAAATATTGAAAATGAAACATCTTCTTGACATTTTAGCGTAAATGTTTATGGTGGTGTAGCTGTTTGAGAAAAACACGTCTGTCCCACTGACAATGTCACATTCTGTTAAAGAAATAACTGCAGGATAAATCTGTAGCTGTTCATCATATTAAAAGATGGTTTTTCTAAAGGACTAAACAATTAATGCCTTTTACTTATTGAAATGGCTAATAGCTGTCCATCTTTTCTCTCCAGAACTAGCTAAAGAGTGGATAATGAGTTCAAAAGAGGCAAAATAATATTCCCAGAGATTGGCAAAAAATTATCTCATTCCTAAAACTTAAAGAATTTTCATTTTTAGTTCAGGCAAGGGTTATACTTCTCTGTCTTCTTTCAGTGCCATGTTATATCTGGGGCTGGAAAAAGAGGTGCCAAAATATTGTGAAAAGCTGTTCTCATGGCATTTTCTTCTAAGACTGAGACTGCTAAAAAAATCTGACAAGAAATCCTCTTTCCAGATTTCTGCCCCAATTTTTCAGACTCAAGGGGCTTGTGTAGTCCTAATAAGCTTCAGCTAAGCCTGTGAACATTTAGACTCTCATCTCAATCAAACCGAAATTCCAAACCTTCTGAGTCTCACCCATCATCAACCTAAACCTGAAGGCTGCAATTCTACTTCCATCAATACTTTTCAAATGAACATCCAGCTTCTTGAAGGAAATGTCAGAGTACACCAGGTATAACAGACTGTACTAGGGAAGCACATTTCATGGATGCATTGTATATGGCACATCAATCAAAAGCTGAAAGATTAATCATCTAGTCTCTAAATGCACTTTCCAAAGTTAACTAGATGTTCTGGCATACAGAGTTATGCACTATGCAAGAGATGCTTGCTTTCCTGTGAACCAAGTGACTATCTAATTTTTGACATTTTGAGAAAGGAAGAAATGCATTGAAAATTCATCTTAATATAATGGGCTAGAGAAATACTTATAGCCTCTTAAATTAATGTATCACTTGCAGGTATTTAAAAATCACAGAGAGTAAGGGATTAGCAAGTATAAATAAAGACATCCAATGTGTTTACATAGCATAGGTATAATGAGGAAAGAGTTGAAGAGGTGGAGCAGGAAGTGTCAGAAAACATATTTCACTTTCCTCTTACATATTCACAAAGCCAGAAGAAAGAGACGCATGGCAGAAAAATAGAGAAAGTAGAAGGAAATAAAATTATTCTTTATAAGCAGTGAAATATTAGTAGCAGTGTCAGAGATTGCTTTGATGTCTTAAAATATTTTTTTCCAAAGAGAGAATAAAGTCACCCTGTCATGGGTGAAATTTTACCCTAATACTCATCTCACACACAAGACTACATTTTCCTTTGAAACAATAACATTTATATATTTTATTTATTTCTGTAAGCTTCAACTAATTCCTAGAAATGTCACTGTCAGTCTGGACCCAAAAATACAAGACAGCATGAAAAGTAATTAAATACTTATTACATTAGATCTTTGAGCTTTACTCATTTTTCACTATCTTTATCAAGTCAAGCAAATGTGGAGCTGGTTTGCTGCAGTGACATCCTAACACTACCTGCCTACAGAATCTGTGTTCACTGCATAGTGATCTGTCTAGTAGCATAGATTTCATTGTAAGATGTTTATGGTGTAAAGATATCCAGGGTTAAACATTTTTGGTTCTACGGCTGATGACATAAAATACTGAGGATAATTTCTGGTCTCTAATTGAATGTTCATTTTACTTTTCTTTCCTAATTTCAGATATTTGCCACTGATATGTTTTAGGTAGACAGAGTTTTAGTTGCAGGCCCTAAATCTCCAGAACTTCCTAATGTACTATAAAGATGTTAACAAAATTGACCAGACAAAATAAAAATACAATAGAGAAAGAATTAAAAAAAAGCACTTATGGATTATTTCTCTGTTGACCAGGCAGTTCTACTGCAGTCTTACATCAGTTTCAGGTGGTGCCAAATCAACCATACTTCAATTTGGTTTATAATGTGCTTCCCCAGCTGAGGGATATGAACTGTTTTGGTTTCTTTAATGAGAGTGAATGTTTATCCTGCCATGATTTCTGTAGCCTATGGAGAATTTTAGCAAAATCTTTTGTTTGCAAGGAGCAAAAATACAGCAGCGCAACAAAACAAGTTTTGCATTTTCCATGACTGCTTGGGAAAATGACAGGTCTTACCCCCTAGGAAGCAACATTCTAATAGTTGCTGTAAGTGACTTGCAGTAACACCAGACCAGGTTGTCTTTCTTCCTCATCTAGTGCAACTCTCCTATTTTATTTATTCCTAATTTATCACACACTCATTACTACTTCAGTGAAGTAAGACATGAAAGAAGAGAGTATTTTACATGAACCACAAAAGAGCAACATATCAAGGAACGTTTCATAATGAAACAATACTAATATAGCTGTACAGATTTAAGTATTTATGCAGCTGAAATATGTACTTGTAACACATTAGTGGAATGTATATAATTTATAAACCAATAAATTCCAAAGTTCATGTTACAGAACACATCTTATTTCTGCATGTCAGAGTTCACCATTTCATCCCTTAAAGGTTACCAAACCACACTGGCATTAATACAGGTGTTAAAGTGGTAGAATAGAATTAGATTTTTTTTTTCTGGTACACGGAAGGATACTAAAATCTGTGCACACAAACCACTAATATTAGAAAAATACCAAAAGTTGCATTTTCACAGTAAACTGGGTAGGGCTACAGCTACATTACATCACAGTACTGAGAGTGCTTGTTTAAGATTATGAATTGTAACACATAAATCAAGAAACATTCTAAAATATGAGAAAATATCTATAGCCTTATCAGCCACCATAAGCCACCATCAAGAATCACAATAACTAAAGCATAGGTTTTATCTTTCTGTCACCTTCTCTTCCTCTGTCACCTTCTCTTTCTCTGTCACATCTTTTCAATCAACTGTGCCCACACAGATGCCAGGATGAGTACATTTACCAGGTAAGAGTATAAAACACTGATTTCCTAACTGATACACAGGTGAGACAGGCAGGACAAACAAGCTACTAGGTTAAGTGTTGATCCCATCCTCTAATCCTTCTGATGAGATGCTTCAGTCCTTTTGGTGAGGAAGACAATGGTTCAAACAGATTGATCCATTTTGTGGATGAGATGTTTTTCTTCTGACTCCCTTACAATTGTAACAGTTTTCAGTCCAGAGTTTTATATTTTAAATCTTTGAGCTACTATTGTTATAATTTAAATATTTGCTGTTACTATCTAAATTGTCCCATCTTTATCTGTGATTTTGCTTCTGTTATTTTACACTGTTCTAGCCTGTATGCTTCCTTTCTGCTTTTTCTCATCTCTGTCTTATCAGAAGTCTAAGCTGGAGTTAGACAGCTGTACTGTGTCCAAACCAGAATCTGGATCACACACAGCTGAAACCCTGGAAGGAGGATTACAGGATAAACATACTTGCTTCAGGTGGTGAAGATGAGTTGGCAACAAACCCAACTCAACTTGTGGGAGTTCCAGTTGTCTGATAACAGCAACTCTGTTGGAAAAGAAATTGTCTTACTCCTCTAGTATTTATTATTTTTTCAGATTTACTATTCACTGTCTAAACCCATTACTTTGTGCCATTTATTTCATGCTGCGAAGTAAGAAAATAATGATGCAAAAAGCCAGCTTGTGTTACAACAGCTCCACAGAACAAAGAATAAAGGACATTTGGTGCCAGTCTTGCCGTGACTCCTCACAAAGGGTGAGTATGAACAGATCTAATACAAACAGATATTATTAAGCAGGGCAGGAACAAATGTGAGAAATAATGAAGCAAATTATGTTAAAATTATACATCCCAATATTCTGCATAAGTTTAAGGAAGAAAATTCCTTATTTTCTTCATACCTCATGAACAAAATTATCTATTTAAAATTTTTTTTATATTCCCACTCACTAGTTCTTAAGTATATAAATGTTATTCATTTAAAACACTATTGTGCCCTAAGAAAAAATATGGAGCTAAATTTGTTGTAATTTTTACCATCTACAGGAAATCTTTGAATGACTCATTTTGTTTGTTTTCTTTCTAGAATATGATAGTTTATACTTCATCAAAAATTATTTTCCTTTGGTACAACTCAGCCTTTTACAATTAAACTCTCTTTTCTGGTAGTTCTCTATCCTTTTAGGGCATCTCCTTCCCATAAAATGCTTTATAAACCAGGCTGTAAAGAGCCTTTTGTAGTCAGTAGGGTTGCCTAAAAAGGTTGTGGAATTTCCTCTGGAGATATTCAAAGCCTCTCTAGACACAATCCTGAGTAACACACCCCAGGGGATGCTGCTGAAACAGGGGAGTTTGGACTAAATGACCTCCAGTGGTCCCTTCCAACCTTACTCATTTTGTGATTCTGCAAAAAGACTGGGAAGGAGGTATCCTGTACTTGTAGCACTGTCACAGGTCCTGTGATCATACAAGCATACCTCATTTCTTTCTCTGACTATGCATTTTTTTCCCCTCTCCTTTGTTTAGACATGAGATTCTTCATAATGGAGATCATTTTTTTTATTATGTAGCTGAGTTCCCATTGCACTCAGCAATGAACAAAAGTCTTTCTGCTTTTTAAGAGCCTGAGTGTCCAGGCAGAGTAAGGCATTAAAAGGACCAAGCATTCATCTACTATTTAGTTTTTCTGAACCTGGGCCCTCACAGATACAGTATTATTTTGACATGTTTATAAAAATTAAGGATACTCCCTCAGCTGCATAAAAATCTTTATCTGTGTGGTAAGACACAGTGAGATATCTATATATAGATGGGTGCTCAAATCCAGAAAGCACAAACAAGAAGGAGCATGAGATGATATTCAGTTCATACGATACTTATAAGAACATTTGGCATCATGTTTGGAAATCAGAACAAAAATAAATTTCTAATATCCTGTGATGCCCATTAGTTAAAGAAATGTAATAATTGGGTGAATGTGATTCATTACTCTTAGAACTGTCTGTGGTTTTTTTCACATTTTCAGGATTCAAATAGATAAAGCAGGAAAGTACAACCACATTGTCATAAAGAAACCTTTGATATTCATCCATAAAATCTAAGCTAGAATATTTTTAATTTACTAATAAATATAGTTTCTTTTTTAAAAAAATTAAAAAATTACCTGGAATTGTACCAGTCTGTGAAGTTAAAATTAATTCTGATCTGTGTTTAAATAATATAAAATGTAATTAAGTAAAAGCAGAATTAATTTGTACTTATTTTTTTACTTTATTAATGATTAGTCCCGTATGATTTATTTTTCAAAATAAAATGCCTTATCATAGTGCTATCTCCTAGTCTAAAGATATGTGTGTTATATATTTCAACAAAAATCACCAATTTCAATACCCCTTATTCAAATGCTTATAATTGGAAAACTGTTTGAGGCTTCATGTTTAGAAAAATGCTTTCCAAAACAGCAGTTAAAACACTATCAAAAAGATTTTTCACAAAACACATTCCAGAAAATCTTTCAGTTTTATTATTATTGAAAAATTCAGCCTTACTAATGTAAACATCTCAATCCAACAGGCTAAACTGGTGGTATTGTAGATGACAATACCGAAATAATAAAAAGTGTAAAAAGTGTACAAGTGTACCAAGGCAAGTGAGTAAGAATTTACAACAAAAAACTTGTCTTTTCTATTTTCTCTCTGTGCTCATTCCTATCTCTCAAAGGGGGAGCAGGAGGTTGAGCAAAAGAATTAGCAAACAGCTATAAAGAAATAGACTTGCAAAATATTTTAGTCAGCTCATATTCTATGCGAAAAACACAATTTAAATACAAACTTTGCATCAGTTAGGAAACTATAATTTTTGTACAATATTCTAAATACTCTTTTAAAGAAGTTACATATTAAAAAACTAAATAAATGAAAAAATTGGATGGTAACCCAACCTCACAAAATTAAGTTACGGGAGTTTGTGCTGTCCACTAAAATCTCCACTTTCTCACCCCACAATCTATAATGTAAGATCATGCAAAGAAAGTTAAAATGGGGTTTATGCTATGCTTTAAAGCCAGTATGATCCAAGCCCTCTTTATGTGCTCCTCTGTAGTTCCCCCAAGTAGTAGCAAAGTGATATGTGTCAGTGAGATGTGACATTAAACAGGTCTTTCTTTTTTCTTTTAATATATAGTTTGTGGGAAATTTCTCTACTAGTTTATATCATGCCCAACCAGTGTTTAACCTGTCACAGCAGTTTAATCACCCATGGGCACTTCAGACTGGGATGGGAAAGGGTTAAAAAAAAAATCAGGAAATTTCATTGCAGATAAGATGGTACTTAAATTTACTCTTCTTTTTGATATCTATATTATCTGTATTCACTGCTGATAATGTGTTTATTTTTAAAGTGACCAGCGATGAAAACTGTTATTTTTCTTTAAATCTCTGTACTGAAAAGATGCTTATGATGAGAGAAAAAGCAATTTTGAGATGGACTACATGGAGGAAATATGTATTTCTCCAGAACTGGATTATATTTCATTTAATTGCATGAAGAAAGCTGCACTGTGACCTGAAAAAGCTTTTTAAAGTCAGACTGGGTTTTCTCTCTGTCTATGAACACTATAGGAAAGATGAAGACTAGTTCTTCCAGTTGGTTAATAAATTACTTTAAACAGTACAGACTAGAATGTAGCCCTTCTTTGGAATGTACATTCCAGGGCGTCAGCATATTGGACCACGTACTAGGAGAAACAGCAGCAAAGTTCATTAGAAACAGGTTTTACTAAGGAGAATTGCTAAGAGAAAAATCGCTCCAGATCGTTAAGGCCTAAGCATCCACTGAAAGAGAAATTGCTTAAAATTCCTAATAAAAATGAAGAAATTGCATTCTTAGAAGTTTTGAAAAGCACTTTTATAGTCATAGAAGGTAAGGGCTGTTGTTTATTTGTTTTTAGTGATATTTTATATTCCCTGTGCTACTTAGGCATATCAAGTGCATATCTTAGGCATATCTTAGTGTTAAAATGAAAAGGTATATAGTTCAGATTTCTTCATTATTCTAGCATATATTTAACTCAGAAAGGGGAGAAATAATTTGAAGTAACATTCATTTTCTCTGCTTTTTGAAATGTACAGTCACATCCTCAGGAGTCTTGCAGCAGACTGTAATCAGAAGGGACATTCTAACCTGAATGCCAGAGGCGAAAACTCACAAATTCTGCAGAAGAATATGAACAGTATTTTCCCCCCTCTCCCTAGATTTCTCCCTGGACATAGAGCCACAGCCCTGTCAGTAACCAGGAAATTAAGCAAAGGTTCAATCATGGACCTAAGGAACAGATAGTTCAGACTGTATTTGTAGTTACTGTCATTTGAAAGGAATATTACAGATTCACGTTGAAGAAATACAGACACAAAGAGAATCAGGTGCCAGGGAAGAGGAAATTAACTACACATCCCTGATTCAAAGATATTATTATTATTAATAATTATCATCACCATCATCATCATCAACACAGAAAACAGATAGTAATATTTTTCCTGTGTTCTTATATAAACATCTGTGTGAGAGTATTTGCCCTTTCCTCTACAAAGAATACTGCTAGAATATAGACAATTGAGCTAAGCATTATTTTTATTCTCTTTATTTTATTATCAAGTTTGTTGGCAGATTGAAACTGCAGATATAAGAACATTATTTTGGGGGAGAGAAAGCTCTAGCTGAGAATGAAAAATAATTATAGCTGTATATAAATTATACATCTACAGAAAATAGTAGAGGTACTAGAAATGTGGAGATGGCTGTGATTATTATTTTTTTTCAAAATGCATATTTTGTCGTAAAATTCCAAATCTTCAAAAGAAATTTTCGAAGTAAATGTGAGAGTTAAATTGGTACTAAAATTAGTAGTTTGAAGATTGCTTTTCTGGGTGAGAAAAGGCTCCCATTGTAACACAGGAGTAATGAGGCATTTGAATGAAAATACAGTTAGTGTTCTTTCATTGTTTGATTGGAACACACTTTTACCTTCTCCTTTGCAGTGCATAAACATCTTTTAGCCAAGCCCATACAGGCCGTGCCAAGTTTTCCTGCTTGTTTTCACTTTGGCCCCAAAAAAATTTACTTTCTCTAGCTGAGAAAGCCATCCCAGCAAGCTTCATTGACAGCAGTACACTTCTTGATTTCAAGGTGGTGTGGAAAACTATATCCTTCTTGTCCCAGTCACCTTCCTTGCATACATGTTGTAGTTCTTGTTTTCCAGTTGTCACTATTGTTACAACAGAGTCTTATATTTTGGTACTTTGGATTTTCCTAATATGTCTTCCTTGCAACTGTTTCTGTTTCTTTATCAGATGACTTCATGATTTCATTGGGATTTTCCCCATGTCTTCCGTGATGTGACATAGATAAGTATTTTGGGAAATTTGGGTAAGTTGCAATTCCCCAGTCTTGCCACTTTTATATGCTGTCTTTTAAGCCAGAAAACAAGCAAACTAGCAAATAAAAGCCTCTCTAAAAGCAAAAAACCCACAAGCACACAACAACAAAAACAAAAAAAACCTAAACAAAAACTCAAACAAACAAAAAAACCCCAAACAAACACAAAAAAACCCCGAAACTTTTTATATACAGTACTCTAAGAGTATAAATGTGGGAACAGAATTTTGTTCACAATTGGTGGTTTTCTGTCACTTTATTTTTCCAAGTGTTCTATACTTAGCAACTCTCACTTATTGAATTTATCTTTGAAACTGGGAAAATACTACCATTTTCTGCTCTTAGAGTATTGCTGATTTCTGCTAAAAATTACTAAATGTGCTGATAATGTGCACCCATAATGCAAGCTTGCTGTTTACTTAGGATGAAGGAATTTGTTTTGATTAGATTTCAGGTGAAACACAGTCATGACCCTAATGAATAAGTTCATATTTCAGAGTTGAAACCTGATCATATGGTAATTCAAAGCTCTGGATGGTGCTTTTTCTTCCCTTCTGTACATGCATTGCATACACATATGTGCATTCTTCCTCTTTTCCCACCATCTGTCCCTTCTACAGACATGTCTTAAATTTGAGCAGACAAGGTGGGGCATATGAATGTTTTAGCCTTTATAGCTTGAAGACATAAATTCATCCTTTACTTAGTTTCAGGAAACCTAATAGGAAAAATCACAGAATAGTGAATATTCTAGTGTAGTTGTCCTTCTTTCTGGGTGTAATGGAAGGCTGATTTAAGACTGATAATACACAGTTATGCAATAGAAGAAGACCAACTCAACGTGTATTTAGTAGAAGAGGATAAATATTGCTTGGCTATTACACAAAACTTCTACCTCCTACACTACTAAGGTTTGATTTCATCATTCATAGATCACATGGGAAAATGATTTGTCAATTCACCCTGACCAGTGGTGGACACACACACATTTCTCTTAAGCACTGTCATTTTCTTAGTCATTTATTTCCTGCTCAGCAGGTGGTTCAGAGGCATTGCCAGTTTACCAGCTCGACCATCAACTCTGCAGTTCAAGGGAAATACAGAAGCATCTGCCATTCATTTCAGGAGAAAATGGTTGGCACAGGCTTTGCTCATCCTTCAGTTAAATTCTTCTTGTAATCTCATTACAAGTCCCTACTTGTAGTCTCATTACTATTGAATCATATTTTTAATCCAATGGAGTTGCAGTATCAAGTATATCCTATGCACAAAACTATGTTGAAAAAAATAGTGATGAGTTTTTAAGTATCATAAATCCATGACACATAACTGGGATAATTTTATATATAATTTTGAGTTTGAAAACTAAACTACTACTTTTGCTACTTCAGCTGCAGGTGGGGTTGCAAACACAGAAGTTAAACATGATGGTAAAGAGTCAATAGAATAACAACTTACTGGAGAATAAGTTTCAAGTATTTGCCACAGCATGGAAAGTAGGAGACATATGAGTAAATAGGTCATCTAGAATTTGTGCAGTATGAATAACTGGATTGTTTGGGTTACTTAATGTCTTATATGATAATGAACTTATGTTTACAAATGGGTGATAGCTCAAAGGAAAGTGAAGGAACAAGCTGATGGAATGCTAACACTTTTCCCATATTTTGAAGTGGCTGACATTATTGCTTGGTTCCTCTCATATTATAGCCAGAAGCTGTTTTAATAGCTAAAATAATATTCTTACTATCTTCCTACACCTGCTTTCTGAGACAACACCACCTCAATTGGAAGAACTGGTCTGCTTGCTAGTGTTCAGAAATAAAAGTTACCATACCAACAAAGGCTGTAGTCTATAGAATAATGGGAATGATAAGAAAATTATTTTCTGTTCTTAAGAAACATTAGAGAAAAGTAAACCCAGGGTTTTGTGCAATGATCCTGCTATGATAATAGAAGTGTTGCTTCACTGGAGATCAGGAGTTACTGCAACTGTTTGAGTCTGTATTTATGACTTTTTGCAGGTTGCTCCTTTCAGTACTTCAGTGAGAACGAAACTCTTTCTCTTTGTAGGCTAACAGTACCTTGTTTCGGTACATTTCCTTTTTTCCTTAACTTTAAGCCACTGACACAGTAGGCGATTGAGCCAACTGAAACAGAGCTGTGTGTGTTCTCTCATGTGCTTAGGCAGACGTTTAGTCCTTAGATCTCACTGCTGAACTAAGAGACTCATTTTTTCCCTCTTCTAAGAAAAACCCTTCAAGCCTGGTAAAAGACAACAAAAAGGAAGAAATAGAAAAAAAAAAAAAAGGAGAAGAAAAAGAAAGAAAAAGAAAAAAAGAGTCAGACAGGCAGTATTGCTCTAGTTGACTTTATAGGTAGCTGCAATGAACAACTATCATATTTTGTTACTGGCTATCACTGAGCATATCTTTGTGATTTGTAGTCCTGAGAAGGCCACATATAAAAAAGGGAATTTCTCTCACATACTGCTACTAGTAAACTTTGAAAACAAGTTAAAGAAAAAATAAATTATGAATTACATATTAAAAGTTTTAAATTTAAACGTAGAGCAGATGATAGTGATAACCAGTTTCATAAAGCAATGGTAATAAAAATATTTTTCACAGCACATTATTAGATACTTGTTATCTATTTTCATCTTTATCATGCTAGTGATAAATAAGGCTTCCTACAAATCTAAAGCAAACAGTTTTTCACACCAGCACTTAAGACATTGTGTAACAATATTCTTCATGGTGATTATGATTTTTGTCCAAGTAAGAATTAATTAAAGTTATTATTCAAGGGCAAATGCAAATGCAGACAACAGAATGATTTAGGAAGTTATGAACTTTTATCTTTCTATTTTGTGGTCAAAGATGCAGAGAAATGACATTAAAAAAATAAAAAATTCATACATCATAAATTTGGAAAACCCTTTTTAGATTTTTTCAGAAGTATTAATACAAGTTAAGACATAATCAGTACTGATATCATTGTTTAAATAACCCGTAACACAACCCTGTCTTCCTGGTTGATCTGCATGATCCTGCTCGTGTTCTAGCCTGGTTTCTCTTAAAATAATAATAGATATAAATAAATTAATAAAAAGTATTCTTGAGAACAAGAACTTAGAACATATTTGGTAGAAATTCAAGAAGTGGGCTGAATGATGACATGTTAATTGTACAGTAAGAAAAACAGGGAAGGCTTCCACGTCCAGGTGTATATTGTTTTGGGCATTGGTTTTGGTCAGTTTTCTTTCTCTTGAACAAGATATGACTAATGATCCTAGAAGCTATTATTAGCTATTATTAGGCCTAACTTATATAGAATAAAAATTTTAATGAGTTGTATAGTATATCACATCCATAAAATGTGAATGAATCAGACACTTTTTTTTCCTGTATTATGTAGAAATTAAACACTCTCAAGAAAGATTTCATGGAAGCTGAAATCTACTTCCTTCAAACTTTTCTGGAAGGATTTTGCTTTCCCTTTTGCCAGACACTGAAGAGAGCCATAAACAGAAGAGAGACATTGGCTTCCTGTTCCAGCCACTTGTCCTCAGCAGTCTAAAATCAGCATGATGAACCTTTCAGCTGTTGCTGCAATATGCTACAGAAGGTGGGATATTTCCAATATCCTTGTTTATTTCAGAGCATACTCCTGGCTTGAACTTTAACAGCTACAGTATGTGTCTGTGTTTTAACTTAAGCCTTCTGTCGAAATATCAAATTAACCTTAAAAAAATCATTTTGTTAATGTAAGCTAAACAATGATGGTTTTTTTCCTTTGTTTGCTTCCAAACACTTTTATTTTTGTATTTATTTATTTATTCTGTTTGTTCATTTTAAATGTTCAGTAATATGGTAGTATATCAATTGTCTAAGGTCATAGGCTGGACAAGGGAAAGTCAGGCTCATCACTGGCCCTCAAAAAATGTTGCTATTCATTAAAATCTGGGAAGGATGCAAGGCCTAATTCCCATATTGATTAACTACTAAACAAAAATCAGAATTCTGGATACAAATTGTATATAATGACAGCTGATCAACTGCTTCTAGTGTGTATAATTTTTTCTCATAATACTTAGCTTTTTCAGTACTAATTAAAGAAAAAAAACCCACAGGTCAGAAAGTATTCATCAGCTGTTCCTTTCACAACATAAATAAAAATGAAAGCAGAAGTACATGATGAGTTTAAATTAATCTCAGCTTGCAGAGGGTATGTTTCATGCCAGGTAAAACTTCATCACTTTTATCCACCTCAGCAATGATACAGTTTGAAATGATGTGTTTCTTTGGTACCTTGAACACCTCAACTAATTTGCAAGGAAAGCACAGATCTAAGAAAATTTTTACCATGCAGAAAGGAATAGGGGAGGAGACTTGTCCTGGAGAGACTGATCCAAAGATCTGAAGTGCTTTGAACCTTGAAGAGCATGATATTCCACTTAGAGAACCAAGGGCCAAGTTTATTATTTTATGGCTGGCAGACTGAAGTAAGTCGGTGAATGCAAACATAGCAGAACACATTCAGGCAGATATATAGAGATATAGATACATATATATATATATATATATTATTTATTTCCCATAAACTCGAGCTAGGATATACAATATCCCCAAAAGGGATTTGAAATGGTAGAGGGTCATACAGACTTGTACGAACAGTCCTTATAAGAAAATGTGTGCAATATGAAGTCATAAAATACAGTAGAGGGTTTTTGAAAAGTCTAGTGAATCAAAGGTTTACTGTGATGTCTCTTCTTACATCCAAAGAAACCAAGGCCAAACTGAGCTATTATATGACAGGGCCATTTGTAAATACAATGAAGTAACTCGAGTTTTTTCAATAGTAATTTCTGTGATAACTTGTCTTAACAGATATTTTATGAAATTAATGAAATGTTCAGTTGCATAGTCAGTTCTAGAGGACACATCCAATATATTTGACATTGCTTTCCCTGTGAAAGTGAATTGAAATCTGAAGGAATGAAGCCTATTATTGTGTATATTTCTTTTCTGAGTACTTTGGTTCCTGTTTTGGCTGTATTTTTGTTAATTTCTTTTATATATGCAAAACAAAACTTCAGCAAGTCAGCTGATGCAATTGAATTCCTTGTTCTTCTCCATATTTCAAAATGATTCACGATGTCTAGAATTTTCTACTAATGTCAAAAAAAAGTAACAGAATAATTTCAGCCACAAAATTCTTCATCTTAGTTTTGTATCAGTCAGGGCTTTTAGCATCTTAACAGTTCAAAATGTTTTTAAACACAACACACACAAATTCAAAGATTAAGCCAAACAGACAGAAGTGATTTTTCCCACTGCAAGCTACCACAATATGAAGTTTTATTGTAATCACTGATAACAGTACCAGAAGATTCCTGCATAAACAGTCTTAATTTTAGTTTGAGATATGATAAAAATATGCTTTTTCTTTGTTTCCTCTTCTATGTATCTAGCAAGTAACTGTACAAAATTAAATTTTGTAGCCTATATGAAAGGAGTTTCCCTGTGCCCAAGTCTGTAGGTAATGTTTTATGCAGACAGCTAGTCAGATAGTCTGCATGCAGATGTCTACACTGTGGGTATCTATGAATCACTAATGAGTCCTACCTAAAATGGGCATTTTGGACAAGATTCAACTCATTTAACTCTAAACTTCAGGGACTTAGAAATCTGTGGCTATCATCACTACCTTTCTTCTCTTTTTAGTTAATGGAGATAAAAAATAAAATATCTACAGTTAGAATTTTTTCATCATAAGATAAATATTTAACAAAGATCAAACCAAGTAATCTCCAGAGCCCTGTAGTGAAGACAGCTTTGCTTCTGTTTTAAACATGGTGGTGTTTCCTATCCAATCAGAAAGGACAATATTTAGTTCTGTATAGTTCAGCAATACCCTTCTAAACATCCTAATGAAACCTATTGCTTTGACTTTGGTCAAAACTAAACTGTGTTTCTATTGACACAATGTAGAAAATCAGACATTGGCTTTAAACCAGCTGTCAATTGATCTTGAATTTAAAAATTTCAATTAAAATTTTATTTAATTTGATCTTTCAAATAAAATTCCGTCCTGTAGTTAAGTTTGGGGGGTTGTTTTCTTATTTTTAACTAGAGCTGGTAAACCCATCACAGAACAATATTATGGTGATGACTTGGAACAGACACTTTTCTGTCTCTTAGATGATGAAATTCTCTCTATGTCAGGGTCTCTTTGTATTCAGTTATAAATGAGCTGTTCCATCTCCTTCTGCCTCTTACTTCAGCATAGCAATGTCCTGGCAATACAGGAATCAATCTTAATGCTCAACCTACAGAACTTGTGTTGGTAGACTTAGGATTTAGTGTTGAGGCTACAGTGTAATTTCAGAGGGGTTATTTGTTCAGTTCTATGAACTTTGGGGGTAGAATTCAAGTTTTTAAAAGTCAGACAGGGCTTTGTTACTTATAAGATCCAGTATTATTTTCAGGTCTCATTAAACCAGAAAAAGAAACAATTATTAGTTCTATATGTGAGCTTTAAGGAACGAATGAGCTGCTTCATAAGATGACATCTGAAACCTGTTTCAATATTTTATCACTTATACTGACCTGCCCTCACTGGTTCAAAAGAAAATGCAAATTCTCCTGCTGTATAGAGTCTTTAACACTGTGCTTTAACACTTAATAATTAGAAGTTGATATCCTGAATTTTAAGGTTTCACACACCATCCAAATTACACATCCTTCAAAAAATAAATCAACCATATGGAACTTTTTATACCAGACACAGTTTTATTGCAATAACTATTTGTAAATTATAGAAAAGCTAGTCTTTGCCTCAGGTTTGGTCTAGTAATCCTTCAGCTTCTCTGTTTCCTGAGAATTTTATTTAATCATTTATTTATTTTTAACCACTTTTAACCACTTGAAGATACATTCTGTCACAAAGACCATAATTCTAGAAATTTGAGCTATAAAATTTTTGTCGGCTGTTTTTCAAGACATAATGATATATATTTCTAGAGAGGAATAAAAAGCATACAATTGTTTATTTTACTTGAAAGGTTAATGATTCATCATTTCCTGGAACTCTGTCTTGTTTTCCAGTCTCTACAGTACACCATACTACAGATCCACAAAAGGAGTTGATAGCTCTCTATATGAAGGGAAAATATGTTAGTGGAACTCAGCTTCTCACTTATAATCTAAACAATTCTTCTCCTCATATTATTCTGATTAATTAAAATTCTGTTACAGAGGACATCATTACTCCGGCAATACTAGTCCCGTGACAGTTTCATCTCGAATTCAGCCTGTAAAATATTTGGGGTAGTTGTCAAACACATTTCTGCTTTTAGATGAATATTTCTTAATCCTTTATTTAGTGAATATATCTTTGTACAAGTTAAGATAAGCAGTGTGTTTAATAGTTTTCATAAGGTGGTGGATTATCTGTACCATGTTTCTCGTAAATTGAATCTGGGTGAAAATACCCAATGACCGGCTGGTTTCTCATTATTTTTCAAACACCATACCACAGCCTTGGTAATTAAATCTGCTTTACTCTAAGTCATAGCACTTTTATTCATTAGTAACTAATTTAGAAACTACCACAATGTGGAGTTGTGATTACTCTTACCCTTACTGTGGAACTTGACTTTCTTTTTCAGTGGAGGCCTTCTGTCAACTTCTAGAAGAGTTACTGGAAGATCAGAAAGACCACATTAATTTATCTGTCTATCCCCTGACTAGAGGATGAATCTGAAAATTTAAAAATGTTCCTTAAAATATAGAGTCAAAATAACTGTTTTAAGTGTGACATTACCTTTTTTCAACTAGCAACTGTTCCTCTCTCTTTGCAGCAGAGTTAATTTTGCTTTTATTACGACCATGGGTGCATGACTGTTTCAAAATATTGGGAAAGGGCAATGAGCCAAAATCATTATCTTCACTTGAAGAGTTTAATGCCAAATGTAAATATTGGAGGGGCTTGAGTGCCCAAGCCATCCCTCAAGGCTTTATGCATCTGATTATAAATGTCCCTGCTGCACTGTCAGCTAGTCACCATCACGACTTCAGTCCAGTGTTGTCAAGGAAATAACAACCTACAGTCTTCCACTGCTTATCAGTATAAAGACAGCACTTAAATAACACATGGGTTGACTTCCCCTCAAATACTCCTGTATAATTGAAATTGTTAATAGACAATTAGAAAAATCAGAAATAAAAATATAATTCAGAATGGTTTAGATGATAATTCTTCCTGTATATTTCATGCAGCATTAAAACCTTTGGTATCCAGTGAGATACTGTTCATAAAATGAGAAAGTAAGCTGATGAAGTAAGCTACCTTCTAAATACACTTCCAGTGGTCAGTTTTATTCTCTTGTCTGAAGAATGAAGGAAGCTAATGTCTTTTTTTTTACTTCTTTGTGGTACAGCAGCACCTGAGGGAGACAGAATTTATTGTAACAATCCACAGCTGGGAATACATTAAACACAGAGAAATAAAGGACATATGAGTATGTTCTACATTCAGAGAGAAATATGGAATACAAAAACATACATCATTTTCCAAAATACAATTCCTTAAGATTTACATTCTTTTTCAAATTAAATTCTTGGTGGTCATTACAGGTTCTTGCTTTTCTAAACTGAGAAATTTATGCCTTGAATTATTTCCAAAGTTCTGTGAAGCAGATAATAAACTTTAAAATAGCTATGGTGTTTGTTCCATACAAACCTAACTTATTACTGTGTGCTATTCTCAGTCTAGAATCTTGTACAAATTGTAATGAAGTACATATTCTTTAGTGTAAGACAAACATTTGTAATTGGGCTTTTAATCTTCAGGGACTAGGAACAAATGATTTTCAGAAATGAAGCAAAAAGACAAAGATATGATGGACTAGTGTAGTCCATTCATCAACTTCACACCGCATAGTACGTACCAGAATGCAGCTACTTATCAATAAATCTCATCAAACATCATATTTCACCAAAAACTGGACTACTTCTATATTAATATTTTATTTCAGAATTCTTTTAGTTAAACAATTATTTGAGTAAATTTTGAGCTTAATTGGGATTTAGTTTTTTATACCACTTTAGGTTATATGTATTTCAATAAAATGTGTTATGTCCTTCCAAATCATCAACTTCACCTTTGGACTCGATGCCTGCAAGAGAATTAATCATACCAAGCTGAGACCCAGGTGCCATAGTGCTATTTTCTCATAGCTTTGGCAGACAAGGTGTGTAACCTATAAACACCTGTGCTTTTCTGGACTAGCAACTGGAGCACAGGATGCTCGATGTGCAAATGGGATTAAACAGGTGTGTTTATATGCGTTGCAAATTCAATTAGTCAGTGGAGGGAACTTCTAGAAGACGGTTCATCTGAGATGAAAAAATCATAGGGGGAGTGGCTGAGGGAGTTGGGGTTGTTCAGCCATGAGAAAAGGAGGCTCAGAGGGAGACTTTATCTCTCTTTACAGCTGCCTAAAAGGAGGCTGTAGTGAGGTGGCGGTCAGTCTCTTCTCCCAACAGGAGAACAGAGAAGCAACAGGACAAGAGGAAATTGCTTCAAGTTACACCAGGGGAGGTTTAGGTTTCATCATCAAAAGAGTTGTCAAGCACTAGAACAGGGTGCTCAGGGAAGTGGTTGAGTCACTGTCACTGGAGGTATTTAAAAGAAATGTAGATGTAGCACTTAGGGACATAGTTTAGTGGTGAATTTGGCAGTGCTGGGTTAGTAGTTGAGCTAGGTGATCTTAAAAGTCTTTTCCAACCAAAAGAATTCTAGGATTCTATGACTGCATGACCTTAAGGCATGTCAGAAGAACTGCCCAATAATGTTGCTATTTCTCTTCACTGTGTAAACAAGATAACAAAGACGTCTAGCATGGCTTAGGGCAATTTCCAAATATTTAAGGTAAGCAGATCAGCTTGATAGTCAATAATACCTTTGTCTAGTTCACTTATCAACACATAAGCACACTTTAATATTTTTATTTTCCTAATGTTTCATTTAACCAGTCAAGTAATAGAAACAATATCATGAAAGAGTAATGAGCTCAAGAAAAATGGCTCAGTATCATCATCAGACTAAACCAAGAAATAAGTCATCAGACTAAACCAAGAGAATAAGAATAATTTATAGAAATAATTAAAGACAATAAATGCCAAAGAATCGTGATTTATTTTTGTAAGCAATTTCAAAACAGGGAAAATAATGACAGCAAGGATTTTTTTTTTTAAAAAAATTACAATTTCTTTGATCTGCACCTTATATATTCACTGCAAGTAGAGTCAATGTTGTGGACTGCCTTTTTCTGAATTCTGAATGTATCACAGAGGATGAAGTAATGAAACTTAACATTTATTTATTTACTTACTTATCTGAGGAACTTGTCCATATAATATTAAATTAATTGCTGTGGTAAGCAAATGAAGTTATTGTTGTTACATTAGTGGAATTTTGCTTGCTTAGACCTATGATCATTTTGTCCCATAAAATAAGTGATCTGTGTAACAGCATTTTCAGCTATATATTATTCTTTTCATATGGCTCTGGAGGAAATGCTGCAGTGGACTTAGAATTCTTTGTAATACCACAAAGGGTATTTGGGCTCAAAGTTTGTGTAAAAACACTGTTTCTTTGCTCACGGGCTTGAACTCAAATCACACCTCTGTCTAAAGGAAAAGGTTCCACATTGCCTTGCAAACTTCTCTTTTTATGACATTTTGGGATGGCTGACAGGAAGTTTTCAGGTTATGCTTGACATTTTGATAAGTAAAATCACATGAGTAATCTTACCTTTGCCAAACTCATGCTGTGTTGCTTCTCTTTGCTTTTGAACTGCTCTGGAAAGGAGACAATACTCAAAATATCTTTCTTTGATCTTTTCCATACCATGTGAAATAACACACAAGACATTTACATTTGCTATTCTTAAAACTGATGAATTGCTATCATGATTCTTTTCTTTATCTGAATTTATTTAATTGCACTTCTACATTTTTGCTTTCAAACCTAGAATGAAGAGAAAGACAATGGATAGCTTGAACACAAACTGATTATCTCTTCACAATTTAGAAGTCAAGGTGAAACAGATTTATGTTCATCACACATAAAAGTCATTAAAAATTCCTTTTTCCTAGAAAATATAAGGGAAGGCAGATGGGTATTATAGTGATTTTCAGCAGCATAAAACCCTTAAGAAGATTTTAGTGGGTTGCAGGGAAGAAAGCTGTTGAATCAATGGTTTGCTACAGTTTTACTGGTTTTTATAGTACTGCAAAGACCATGTCTCAGAATAGACTGTCTGACAGAGAGAGGTAATAGCTGAATTTGGAAGAAAAATAGTTGGAGTGATGGCATGAAATTCTGAATAAATAATAATAAATTTTGAAATAGAGGCCTGTGACTTCAACTTTTAATTACTAGGAAACAAAGACAATTTGCATATCTATAATCATTGAAATAGCTGTGAAGACACTGTCTTTTTCCTACCAGAAACAAAGTTGAAGAATCCTAATAAATATTTTCAGTGTTTTTAATAGATAAGACATAACAGATAAGACAAAATAATTTGGAGTTGAAGTGCATAGTGTGAGTTGAATTAGGATGTATTGGGAAAAACAGGCAAGAATTGGAAGAGTAAAACTGGATGAGAATATGTGTTCTTTACTGTGTAGACGGTATGCTGTACAGAATAAAAACATATGTTCAAGCTCCTGAAAACTAGGTGCAAGACAAGTAAGGAGGCTGTGATAGTCACCGTGGCCATTCAAGTGGCTTGGTATTAGTGCATAATTTATGGGTGCAGTTGAACATATGAGCAGACTGAACCTTCTGTCATTAGATCAAATATGGGCTGTTCCTTTCAGTCAGTCAAGTTACTTCTTTATTATTTGCCTGTGATAAAAGGTTTGGTAGTATCAGGGAAAATCCCTTAATATATTGGTAACGAGAGAATACACTGTGACTGACACTGAGGGAAAAACAAACAAACCACAAACAGCCCTGACCTAAATTTAAGTCACTTACCAGCTGATGTACTCTAGAGAGGAGGTTCAATGCTGTAATCTGCTAACCTCATAAAGTTCAACAAGGCCAAGTGCAAGGTCCTGCCCATGAGTCAAAGCAACCCCAAGCATAAGAACAGGCTGGCCAGAGAATGGATTGACAGCAGCCCAGAGGAGGATGACTTGTTTTGGTTGACAAGAAACTGAACATGACACAACAATGTGAACTTGCAGCCGAAAAAGCCAACATAAGAAGTGAGGGTGAAGGAGGCTACAAAGATGATCAGATGATTGAAGCACCTATTCTCTGAAAACAAGCTCTGAGGGAGCTGGTGTATTTCAGCCTGGAGAAGGGAAGGTTCTGGAAAGATCATCAAATATCCGAAGAGAGCTGGATGGGGACTTTTCACAAGGGCATATAGTGACAGGACAAGGAGGAATGGCTACAAACTGAAAGAGGGTACATTTAGATCAGATGTCAGGAAAACAATTGTACTCTTAGAATGGTGAGACACCACTCACTACAGGTTTCCCAGAGAAGGTGTAGATTCCCCATCCCTGTAAGTGTTCAAAGCCAGGTTGAATGGGTCTTTCAGCAGCTTGGTCTAGTGGAAGACCCATGGCAAAGGAATTGAAACTGGATGTTCTTTAAGGTTTCTTCCAACCCAAAGTGTTCAGTGATGATTCTGTGTGTTATTTTAGTGGTACTTGCTCTGTGTATGATGTGCATTTTTTCATGAGTTATAAAGGAATGTATGAAAAGAAACATCCTGTTTCCTGTTT